GGTGTGGCTGCTCAGGCCTCAGACGGTGGGTCTGGCGCTGAGACAGTGGGGGGCTCAGCCTGCCCGTGCCCGCTCCTTCAGGAAGTTAGAAACAGAAGAAGAACCTGGTGCATCTTTCATAAAATAAACTTCTTCGAGGGAAAGCCCTCCTTCCTTACTGGGGCCGATGTTTCTCTTATGAAATCACGTTGACAAAAGATGGTGGTTGGTTTTACCTTCGTTTTTAACGTTCTAACCACCTGGTTGGCGACGCTGTAGAGGTTCCCTCCCTGTCCAGACTGTCCTAGGAGCCTTAGATGCGCTGGACATGCCTTGCAGCCCTTGGGGGCCAGTGCTGAGGCCGCCACCGGCCATCCGCCACCTGCCATCCGCCCGGAGGCCCTGAACGCAGCAGTGCGCAGTGCGGCCCATGGCCCGGCCAGCTCCTCTGGTCCCGGGACGCTGCACCTGCTGCAGTTCTCCGCTCACCACTAGGTGGCGAGGCCTCCAGGGCCCAGTCGGGTTGATTAGCATCTTGGTGTTTACCTGTGGCCCTGGGAGGCCGGGCAGGAGGAGAAGCCTGCGGGGGGGCCAGCCCCAGCCTCAGGTCGTTCGGTGCGCCTCCTCTCTCCCTGAGTGCCCGCCTCTCTCCTCTCAGGAGCTGGTGTTCTCTGCTTCCCCGGACGCCACCATCAGGATTTGGTCGGTCCCGAGCTCCTCCTGTGTGCAGGTGGTGCGGGCCCACGAGAGCTCCGTGACGGGCCTCAGCCTCCACGCCACTGGCGACTATCTCCTGAGCTCCTCCGATGACCAGGTGTGGCCCAGCGGGTCCCGAGGGCCCCAGGCATCGCGGGAGGAGGGACAGCTACACACACACCCCCGGCTGCTCCCCAGCATGGAGAGGTTTCCTCTGCCCGTGGGGCTGGCTTCAGGGCTTGCCGGACGGGGTCCCTGCTCCCCGGAGGGCACCCCGCTTCTCACTCCTGCCTGTTGTGTGTTTCAGTACTGGGCCTTCTCTGACATCCAGACGGGCCGCGTGCTCACCAAGGTGACGGATGAGACCTCCGGCTGCGGTGAGTGGTCTCCCTTCATCTGCTGTCTGTCATTTATGTGTCATTTGCTCACGTGTTCTTTTAAAAACACACTGAGCGCCAGGCGTTGGGGGCACCTTCTGCCGTGCTGGTCCCCCCGGGGCTCTGACCACACCCTCCTCCCCCAGCTCTCACCTGTGCGCAGTTCCACCCCGATGGACTCATCTTTGGGACGGGAACCATGGACTCTCAGATTAAGATCTGGGACCTGAAGGTAGGACCCACAGCCTCCACCTGCCGCAGCCAGAGCCCGTGATGCTCATGTGCCTGTGGCGTCTGGCCTGGGGTCCCGAGAGGGGTAGTCGGGAGCCCTGGGCTGGCCCCACCCCTGCTCTTCCTGCTGCTGTCCTTCCCTGAGAGACAGGACGTGTCAGAGGGAGGGTTCGGCGAGCTCCGTTCCTCCCTCTCCTAATGCATTAGAGATGCCCAGGACAATGAGCCCTTTCCGAGAACGGCTACTACCTGGCCACGGCGGCCGATGACTCGTCCGTCAAGCTCTGGGATCTGCGCAAGCTGAAGAACTTCAAGACGCTGCAGCTGGATAACAACTTTGAGGTGCCCGCCCCCACCCACTTGCCCCCCATCTGTCAGTTCCTCTCTGGAACATCTGAACGGCCTCGCCCTCCCGGCAGCCCGACCCCCCTGCCCTCGTGTGACCTCTGTCCTGGCTCTGGCAGGTGAAGTCCCTGATCTTTGACCAGAGCGGCACCTACCTGGCCCTGGGGGGCACCGACGTCCAGGTCTACATCTGCAAGCAGTGGACGGAGATCCTCCACTTCACAGGTGGGCCGGGGTCCCAGGGTCTCCGGGGCTGGGGGGCAGGCCGGACAAAGCGGGGGGTCTCGCGGGGTTAGGGACTTCTGGGCGTTCACGTCCTCAGCAGCGGTGACTGGGAAGACGGACTCGGGAGGGGCGTGCTGGGCTGCCCTCGCCGGCTCAGCCCGCAGGCAGGGACATGGCCAGTCCTCCCTCTCCGGGCCGGGATGTGCGTCCCGGGGGCCGAGAGGCGGTGTCAGCTCGGGGCCTGCCTGTCGGGAGGATCTGCCCTCCGTGCTCCGCATGCGTCCTGTCCATCGGGTTAGAGCCGAGTGCGAGGGAGGAGGCCCCCCCTGATGTGCTGTCTGGTCGGGGGAGGGAGGGACGCACGTGACTCCCAGGTAAACGCCTAACTGCACGTGACCGTGCCGGAGAAGGTCCAAGGTGCTGAGACGGTGGACACAGGTCGCCGCCGCCATAGCTGTGGCCTGGGCGCGTGACTGTCCCTCGCAGGGCTGTCCTCTCGCCTTGGAAGCGGGCAGAGTGGCTCTGCTGTGCAGGTGGCGCCAGCAGGGGCGTGGGGGTGGCATGCGTGGAGGCAGCTGCTGTCTGTGTGGACGGTTGTTGTGTGCATGGCAGGTTGTGGGCGGGACGCAGGATACTTCTCCCTCCGCATGCTCCCAGGCCTCAGCGCAGTGTTTCGGGGGCTCCCAGGCCTCAGCGCGGTGTTTCGGGGGCTCCCAGGCCTCACAGCGCAGTGTTTCGGGGGCTCCCAGGCCTCCGGGC